GTAACTTACAGGACTAACCAACAGAGGTGTCGAGAGAAAACATTTTTGACACTCCTGCGCTGAATCTTTAATAACGTCGTAAAGTGGCACGCAACCAGGATAATAATACTGTCACATGTGCCTGTAACTTCCCTAGTGTCGTTCAGTCTAGATGTCAAAGAAGCTGGTGTTGCCCCAGGTGCTGGCTGAGCGGCAATACCTGTTTGTGAAAGGTTTGGCACTGGGAGTTGCAACACGACAGCAGCGCACAGAACAAACACTGCAGGGGAGACTAAACACAGCTCCAGCTGCGCACACGCGTTCACTGATCTACACACGTGGGGCGCCACGATGGCTAGGAGATGTTAACTACCTCGCCTGATATACAGGAGGTCGCGGGTTCGATCCTGACCCTGACGCTTCTAGATTTGGAATTTGCATGTTCTTTCCGTGGTCGCGTGGATTTTCCTCCAGGTCCTCCGGTTTTTTTCCCTCCACATTTAGAAACATGCGTTTAGATGTATTTGTCTGCAATACATTCCCACATGGTAAGCCACTTCGTTGCGTTATCATTTGTGGTCAGGTCGCGTCTGAAACCAAGAGCTGTACAGCTCAGTGGCCCTTACCTTCTAAAATAAAAAGGTTAGTTTTTAGCTTACATGTCAGGATCATGCCATTCGCAGACAACAACAGCCGCCATTTGCAATGAAGTGGCAGTTACATCACCGCAGTGCTTGTGCCATACTAGGTGCACTTTGAGGCCATGTGAAGTGTCGAATGCTTTCTGGATAGGTCACGGGACAGACCCAGATGCCATAGGTTGACCGAGGTAACTAGTAGATGCTCCACCTGTGCTCCGCACTGTGCCAACTTGCTCAATTTTAGCAGTTCGGCACTCCGCTCGTTGTTGTGAGCGTCACTCATCTGCCCTCCGCTGTTGTTGGAGGGTGACTTTTTCAAACTATCCAGTATCGTCCTTCATAGTGGCCTATCTTGACACCACTGGTACCAGTCTTCGGTAAATCCACTCAACTCCATATCCTCCTGTACCGCATCAACCCATCTCTTCTCTAGCCAGTGCAGCACCCGTTTAGCCCCCGATATCTGACCAAACAGAAGCTGCTTGGGCATGCGGTGGCTGGCATGTAGGCTACTGTACATGACCCAGCCAGCACAGCCTCGATTGCCGGAGGAGCTCACCGATGGGACTATTGTCAGATCTCTCAAGGATCTGTGAGCTCACACAATCCAGCATGCACACGTGCACACACACACTGACACTGCACGACCAATGCCGGACAAACACAAAAGCGTGGACACAAAAGCGTGGATACAAACACATTGAGCATGTACAGACCTTCTGTCGGTACACTGCTGGATGAGGGCCACCTCATCCCATGTGGATCATGCGTTGGGTCAAAGAAGTACAGTACAACAATGTTTTTTTCTCCCGCACTGCCCCCTGCTCCGCAAAAAGGTAGCGCAGCCTCGCAGCCACCTAAGACAACCCGAAATGCACGGCGGGCACCCATCCAAGTGCTGTCCAGGGTCAAATCTGCTCCGTTTCCAAGATCGGATGAGATTGGGCGCATCCCGGGCGATTTCGTGGGAGCCAAACACGTGCCCCTATGGAGCGTGAGCTGCGGTGCGCAGTTGGCTCTGACACACAAAAAAGGAGTAAAGGCAGTCACCTGACAAGGCAGGCACGCTGCCAGTTGTGTTACGTCAGCAAGATGCATCATGCTAAAGAGATAAACCAGAGCGCCTAGCAGGGGTGGGAAAACATCTCCTTCCTGAGGGCTGGAAAGGACTTGCTCATATCTTTGGGGCATCGCGCATTAACACGCTCCTTGATAATTAAGTCATAATCACGAGTAAATAACGTGCACGTCGACCGAGTAAAGAATCCCTTGCAGTGGTGGAAGTGACCAGTGCGCTATAATTAGAAACACACTGTTGCCAGGTCCAAAATATCCTCCTCCAGTACCCGGTGAGTGTGGTTGAGATGCAGTGACAACTCTCGTTCGTGGGCAGTTTTAAATTGGTCGGCTCCATGTCGCCACGGGCCGTGTGAAGCGAGGCCGTAGGTTCACCCACCACGAACCTCAATTATAGCAAGTACCCATCACACAGCACAGACCCACCACCAAAGACCCATCACACAGCACTGACCCACCACCAATGACCCACCACACAGCACAGACCCACCACCAATGCCCCATGACACAACACAGACCCACCACCAATGACCCACCACCAATGACCCACCACACAACACAGACCCACCACCAAGGACCCACCACACAACACATACCCACCACCAATGACCCACCACACAACACAGACCCAACACTAATGACCCACCACACAGCACAGACCCACCACCAATGCCCCATGACACAACACGGACCCACCACCAAAGACCTACCACACAACACAGACCCACCACCAAGGACCCACCACACAACACATACCCAACACTAATGACCCACCACACAACACAGACCCAACACTAATGACCCACCACACAACACAGACCCACCACCAATGACCCATCACACAACACAGACCCACCACCAATGACCCACCACACAGCACAGATCCACCACCAATGACCCACCACACAACACAGACCCACCACCAATGACCCATCACACAACATAGACCCACCACCAATGACCCATCACACAGCACAGACCCACCACCAATGACCCACCACACAACACAGACCCACCACCAATGACCCACCACACAGCACAGACCCACCACCAATGACCCACCACAAAACACAGACCCACCACCAATCTAACCACCCATATCAATCTCAAGTCAACCATCCAGCATCAACCGTCTCTCGGCAAGCGACGCAAAACGCTGAATGATCAGCAGCTAGCCGCCTCCCAAAACCGGGTAACCCAATATGAGTCCAGTCAGGACCCAGCAGAGCCCAACCGGTACCCAGAGCCCATCAGCAACCAGCACCCGCAGAGTAACCTCGCACAATCTTCCACGCAGCGCCTACGCACGATCTCTGGGCGCCGACTAACACCCAGTGATCCACCTGCCAGCCAGCACGGCAGATGCGGCGACACCCTTCCGCACCAATGAACGATGAGGAGCATCCCAGAGTGCGGCTGCGGTCACGAATCTCAAAGTGTGGAGCACACGATAACACGACTAGTCCACTTCCATCACGCGGTCAGCAGGCGAATGGTGAAGCCGTCCACTGGCTCACTCATTAACCTCCACGTGAACATGTGAATGCTGAAAATCCACTGCCACTCACAACAACAGACACATCTTACAACCACACACATCACTCACAACACACACACACCACTCACAACACACACACATCACTCACAACACACACACACCACTAACAACACACACACACCACTCACAACCACACACACACCACTCACAACCACACACACACCACTCACAACCACACACACCACTCACAACACTCACACACACCACTCACAACACACACACCCCACGCACAACACACACACCACACACATCACTCACAACACACACACACCACTCACACATCACACACAACACACACACACTCACAACACAACACACATCACTCACAACACACACACACCACTCACACATCACACACAACACACACACACTCACAACACAACACACACCACTCACAACCACACACACACCACTCACAACCACACACACACCACTCACAACACACACACACCACTCACAACACACACACATCACTCACACACACACCACTCACACACACACCATTCACAACACACACACCACACACACCACACACACATACATCACTCACAACACACACACCACTCACAACAAACACACATCACACACCACACACAACACACACACACACATCACTCACAACACACACCACTCACAACAAACACACATCACACACACACCACTCACAACACACACACACCACTCACAACACACACACCACTCACAACACACACACCACTCACAACACACACACACCACTCACAACACACACACACCACTCACAACACACACACACCACTCACAACACACACATATCACTCACAACACACACATCACAACACACACACACCACTCACAACACACACACATCACAACACACACACACTACTCACAACACACACACACCACTCACAACACACACACACCACTCACAACACACACCACTCACAACACACACACACTACTCACAACACACCACACCATTCACTCACAACACACACCACTCACACACACCACTAACAACACACACACACACCATTCACTCACAACACACACCACTCACAACACTCACACACACCACTAACAACACACACACACACCATTCACTCACAACACACACCACTCACTCACAACACACACCACTCACTCACAACACTCACACCACTCACAACACACTCACCACTCACAACACACACACACCACTCACAACACACACCACTCACACACACCACTCACAACACACACATCACACACACCACTCACAACACACACATCACACACAACACACACACATCACTCACAACACACACACATCACTCACACACCACGCACATCACTCACAACACACACACATCACTCACAACACACACACATCACTCACAACACCGACACACACAACTCACAACAACACACACCCCACTCACAACACACACAACACACACATCACTCACACACCACGCACATCACTCACAACACACACACATCACTCACAACACACACACACATCACTCACAACACACACACATCACTCACAACACACACACATCACTCACAACACACACATCACTCACAACACACACATCACTCACAACACACACACACCACTCACAACACACAACACACACATCACTCACAACACACACACATCACTCACAACACACACACACCACTCACAACACACACACATCACTCACACACACATCACACACACATCACACACATCTCGCAGCTCAACGCTCCCTCCTCTCGCGTGCCGCGGGCCTCACCTCTCTTGTTGAGAGGCCGCACCCGCACCGCCACCTTCACCTTGGAGTCCGACATGGCCGGGATCGCCTCCTCCTCCTCCTCGCCGCCGTCTCCGCAGAGCCGCGCAGCAGCCCGCCTCTACCTACGGCGGCGCATGGAGACGCGACGGCCCCCCACCCCTCTTCTCTCTCCCCACACGCTCGCTACTCACAGCCCCCCACCCCCCCTAACACAATCCGCCCCCTGACTCAACACCTGCAGACTCACACCTGTGGAGCGCTCACGTCTCACCGGCTCGCGACAACCCCCACCCCCTCGTAAACCACGCCCCTCTTACTGCCACGCCCCCTTTCCATCAGGCCCCGCCCCCTCCACTTGTCTCCCCCCGCCCCGCCTCGTCACGCGCCTGCCGGAAATGTCCCGCGCGAGCGCCCGCGAGGGCGGGGGGTTGGTGGGGGGGGGGCGAGTAAGCCCCGCCTCTACCCCCCGCCCCCTTTTCACCCCCTCCCTTCGCCCTCCCCTCCGAGCCACCCCGAGAAGCCCATTGGCTGGGAGCGCGCGCCACCACGTGGCCGTCTTTTACCGCCCCCGCTCGGCTCGCCACTCACTCCGTTGGTGGTGGTGACGGTAGTTGGTGGCCGTGATTCTGAACCGAGGTCCACATCGTCATCACCATCGTCATCCATCCCTGCTGTTGACGTTGTCTCCTTGCCCGGCCACGCCGACGAGAGGTGTGCCGAGCCCCAATGTGGGTTTACGGAAACGGATCGGTCATGCGCACACGCAAGATTCTCCGTCCGCCTGCTAACACGGCAGAGGTTTAGAAAGACTATCAACTGTGAACCCGCCATATCTTGCTTTACCGACTTGGCTAAGAAGGCTGATGGTACCGTCAGTCGGCAAGGGCTCAAGGTTGTTGTTATTCGTGCTTTCTGGGTCCCTGACCCTCTGCTCACAATCATTGGGGACTTTCATAAGGGTCCATCCATAAATGACGTCACGCAATTTTGGACAATTTTTGACCCCCCCCCCCTCGTCACACGGCGTCACAAAAAGTCAGACCCCCCCCCCCTCAAATATGACGTCACAAAGCTCTGCCCCCCCAAAAAAAAAACATGCTTCAAATCGCTTTAAACTATTGTCATTGTAGTGCGTATTTAATGTGGCGCTGCACTCTGATGTTTTAGGAGAAAACATTTATTAAAAATTATATTTAATTAAGTAGAACGTGTTGCCTATATTTATTTAAAGTTGCGCATTTTGATGTGACGTCACATTTCTCCCCCCCCCCCCCACCGCCGTCACATATCGTCACAAATGTCTGACCTCCCCCCAGGTGCGTGACGTCATTTATGGACGGCCCCTAAGGTGCGCGGCAACTAGGTTTAGCTTCGTGGCACGGAGTCTGAGACATTCCCTGTTCACCTCGGCACTGCGACAGGACAGGGATGCTCTCCGACTCTATCATTGGCACCTGGTTATGTCCCATGATCTGCCGGCGAGCCTTCGATAACTTTACATGGCCTCAAGGTGCACCTAGCCTGGCACAAGCGTCGTGGTGACGTCAACACGAATTAGTGTCAAACACAAGTTGCTGTGCCACTGCATCCCTGAGCGTCCCTGTACCTCCATCTCTGTGGCTCATGGCAGGGCTTAGAAACTCACCTCCGATTAGCACGGTTGGCTAAGTGCGGTGTGAAAGAAGTTCAACAAACATACAACAGCCGCGTGTGTCTCGAGCAGCAGGTGCTCTCCCCTCGTGGACAACCTCGTTGGACCTGCGAGGAGAGAAACCAGTCTACAGTTTGTGGCTTTTGTTTCACTGCTGCCGGTTGGCCAAACTTCCTGAACATTATTCTTGAACCTGCGGTCTGGATACGGCTGGAAGCGTTTGCGTCTGTGCATTGCAGTGCACACGGTTGTGCGTTGTTAAATGTAATACATTTCCACATTTTAGGAAGTTTGTTTGATTAAGTGTGTGTTTCTCTCTCTCTATGTGTGTGTGTCCTCGTGTTGTTGCTGTTATTTCCTGCAGACGCGAAAGCTCCAAATCTCTCACTGACATGATAATTTCTCTACCCCCCCCTTCTCTCTCTGCCCCCTCTCTCTCTATTTATGGCCTCGACACAGAGGCGGTGTTTCTCTGTGTGCCAATGTGTCTTTCTCTGTGTCTCTGTTATCTCGCTGTTCTTTGTCGTTTATTGTGAAATTTCGGTCAGTTCCTATGATCACTGTTACATTGTTTTATGGCTTTATTTTGGTGATTTCGAAAAGTTTTTTGATTTAGCCATGTTTGTTCGTTGTAGTACGGAGTTAGACTGATGGCTTTAATCTAAGTTGTCTTGTGGTTGTTGTTTGACTTGCATCCCACTGGGATTTTTGCACACAGCGTTGGTGTACGGTGCTTTTTCTGGAAGATTTTACTGTTTTTTCCTGGATTTTTCTGTTTGCGCATAGTCACTTTAAGATCTTTTCTTGTTCATGTTTTTGTTTTTTGTTTGTTGCGGTTGCACCCGATTCAAGAGCCGAATGGCTTACAAGGCTATACCAAATAATTGAAACTGAAACTCTGCTTATGTGTCTGTGTTTCCGTGTCTGTTTTGTATCTCTCTAAAATTTAGCAATCTTTGGAAGAACGTAAACAACCAGGTAGGGTGTTGACTGATATTAGCCGACTTTCTATGTTGTATTGCATTATCTTTCTAAGTTCACTACGTTTGTTTTCTCTTTCATTTGTACCTGATGATTGCTTGTGTTGCAATCGAAACGTCGTATGCTTTTATTTAATTTAGTTTTTCTTTCTACGTCACTTTACCGAAAGAACCAAAGAGTAATTGCTGCAGTCACGAAAGCTCCAAATCAAGTATAAATCTAATAGAATATAGTTTACTAGCATTTGGCGCAATGGCACTTTTTTCATAACAGTAGCATTAACTGTTGTTCATTATAAGTGCTGTTGGTAACTGGCATTTAGGAAGTGTGTGATAGCGGGACTGGCATTTAGGACGCTTGACTGGCATTTAGCAAGTGTCTTATAGCTTGAGTAGCATTTAGGAGGTGTGTGATAGCGGGACTGGCATTTAGGACGCTTGACTGGCATTTAGCAAGTGTCTTATAGCTTGAGTAGCATTTAGGAGGTTCCCAAAAGCTTGACTGGCATTTAGGACGCTTGACTGGCATTTAGCAAGTGTCTTATAGCTTGAGTAGCATTTAGGAGGTTCCCAAAAGCTTGACTGGCATTTAGGACGCTTGACTGGCATTTAGGAAGTGTCTTATAGCTTGAGTAGCATTTAGGAGGTTCCCAAAAGCTTGACTGACATTTAGAAATGTCCAAATAGCTTGACTAACATTTTGACTTAAAGCTTTCGTGACTGCAGGAATTCATATTCTTTGGGTCTTTCGGTAAAGTCACGTAGATAGGTTAAAATGAATAAAAAAGAAAATAAACCAAAAACTACGATGTTTCGATCACAACACAAGCGATCGTCATCAGGAGGAAGAAAGAAACGGAAAGCTGCTGAGGCAGACTGTTTTAAAGGTTTAAAATGGGTGTAGCCCAAGGGTGATGTTAATGTGAAAGATTAGCATGTTAATGTTAATGCCAGTGACCACAGAAACCAAATTATATTGATTTGGGTTTGTCCCTTTATTTGACAGATTCCAGCTCTGACGATCAAAACTTTCGGCTATCCCCAGAGCATATGATCTGCACTTATCTTATAGCGCTGAATAAGGACGGGTTATAGGGAGGGAAGTTACTGGGTACGGGAATTACGAGGGTACCTAGGGATTGAGGGAAGGATGGGCCAGGGAGAAGGGGTGGGTCTCGAGTGAGGAGCCGACACTCGACGGGGAGGGTGCTTCTTAATGCGGAGGGGAAGTTTGCTTCAGAGAGATGGGCCAATTGAAGGGACCTAAGTTGCGAGACGTCTCAAAGGCCATTCTGATCAAAGACGGTGCACTACTCTGCGAATTGTAAATATAAAAACTCGGTCTCGAGTCACCCTTTCAGGAATTCCTGGCATTGTGAATTCGCAATTGCAAATTCAGAAGAATGTTTTTTTCAGCTAAGCTTTTTACTTCGATCAGGTAAGGCCCACCAAGCTATATAGCTATTTTTCATAAGTGACCTGGCCACCAATGATATATCACACTTTTTTTTTTATCGAATTCGTATATTTTTTTTCTTCAGGCAATACGTGGGGCCCGTTACATCACGTGTCGCGAGTTCGAACCAACGCCGCTCGTTTGTTTTGGTCACCGATCAAAGTACTAACCAGGCCCAGTCAGTTTCTATTTAGAGTTTATTGTACACACCAATTCATTTGTCTTCGATGCACGTGAAGTTGTCCTTTAAGGAATTGTGGGGACATTCTTCTCTATCAGTGATCCTGCTCCGTTACTGTACGAGGTCGGTGATTAATTAAATATAAGTGAAGCGTAAAACCCGAGCGCAGTACCGCGCCACCCCCTTCCTTACACGTTGTCGAAGGGCTATTTGACATCGGGTTTTTAATGCCGGTGATGGGTTTTGAGAATTGTGTGGATAGAGGTCATGGGCTTGGGACACCCCAAGCTCACTCACCGCTCCGATTTCCCTTGGCTTAAAAGACGTCCGATTCATAACATCAAGTGCCATTCTGCAAAAATGTTCACAACCAATAAAAAAAAATACTCTTAATTGCTATTGCCTAAACGCGCACATTCACAATGTACACCATTAGACCTCCTTTGCCAGTACCAAAATATAATAATAGGGTTGTTACCCTTTTTTCTGACAAAACTGAAACCTTTTTACAAGGATTCATGTCCGCATTAATCACAATACATGCGATCAAAATTGAAATAAAAAACACTGATAATATATGCATTGTCCTTGAAACTGATTGGTCCACACCAGACAGCTTTCTTTATAGCCTCGTCTCAATTGGTGCTAGACCAGATGACGCCAAAAGGCGTACAGCTCAAAGATAATGCACTATCAAAGTAATGAGGGCTCAGGGTAAGCATCTGCATCATTAGACCTCCTTTGCCAGTATCAAAATAAAATAATAGGGTTGTTCCCCTTTTTTCTGGCAACATGCTGCTCCGGAGCCGCAGGTTGCCGATCCCTGGTGCCATGGGGCTTTGCCGGGTGCTGTGTAGGCACGGGACTGCAAGGTGTGGCCACGAAATGGCAGAGTTGAGAATCACCTCCAGGTAGGGGTTAGTGGGGTTTTCTCCATTCATTTATTGGTATTGGCTGAACATCCCAATGCATCATCCTCCTAAAGAGCCTTGAGACTCAGCGAGGCTTGCAGTGTAAATATTTGGGATTACTGTCATTACAATATACATATGGCATAATAACCATTTATTGCAGAAATGACAATTAGGAAAAAGAAATTGCAAAAGACCACAAAGCAGTGCAATGTAAAACAAGAATCTTTATAACCACCAATTATGAAATCATTTCAAAACTTTCATCGAAATTCAAGCGATCCCTCCGAGAGAAAGTTTTCAATGACACCAGCGACTGGCGTTGCTAAATCCTCACTTCAAGGCCCTCGATTGGCATTCACTGGTCACACCAAATTATTTTACGCAGTTTGATCCGAAGTAAAGCCATCAATCCTGGCTCGAATCCCAAATCCGAGAGAACAATCCATTAAAAACAAGACCTTGGCACAAACCGCAGTGGCATCGTTTGTCCGAGTAATCCAAAGCACTCGGACCAGCTTCGTTAGAGATTTTGAAAATCATGAGATGCTTCTGTGAGGTACAAAAGTGGCAAAGAGTTGTTGGGGTGTCTGCCCGGCTGCTTGCAATCTTGGTTGAAGTGACGTTGGGTCAGATCTGAAACCTTGAAGACGAGCCGGCATAAGCGGCCAGATCTCCCCCCCCCCCCCAAATAAGACTTTATTGTAGATTATCAGCTTTAGTTGCAGAGCACAACACAAGCGTAACCTCTAAAACCGTAAGGGGCACAATATGAAGTGAACCTGATCCAATAACACCGTAAAACACTGCTGCCAATAATTTCTGTTAAAAAAAGGAAAAAGCCGACCTGAAAATTAAAAGAAAAAGTAAAACAATTCCCCTCGCACGTGTCATACGCCGCTGCCGACAATGTCCCCCGTAACGACAGATATTCCATGAGAGCACAACATCCTCGCGATGCGACTGGTACAACTCGTAATTATGTGTAAAAAAACAATTTTAAACGCTAACACAGGTGGCCGCACGGGGGGAAAGGCTTCGTACGTCGTGACATTCCCTGCGCAGACCCCAAATTTCGACACGTTTCTCACGACGCGTTCCACTAAGTTCACACGAACTCGGCGGCATCTGCACATTTTGGTTAAATTGCACGCTTGCAAACCTGCAAACTTTTTTCCCACATACACAACGATGGCAAATTGCTGGAGCAGCCCTAGGATGCATATTCCCAGCGGAGGGTTCTCGGGTAGAGGCGGCGTCTCGAATAACCGGGAGGGGAAGACCTTGGAGGCTCGTGTAACAGCCACTCTAGCCTTGGTAGAAGAGTGTTGGGGTCAAACCTCTACTACTACACCCACTGTTGCAGGGAACACACACGGGGAAGGATCAACAGGATGGTGCCCACGATTTACTCCGTCATTGAGAGCTGTTAAGGGAAGTCACGTTTCTCGCTTTACCACCGCATCGCCCGGGCGATGGCTAAGTGTCTGATAACTGGCCTAGGGGGGTGATGATGGGGGAGAGAGGCTTGTCGGATTAGCTGTCCAGCGAGTGGCTCGGTGATTGTGTGGGGTGCATTCCGGCTGGAGAACGATGCAAACAAGTGGAGGCCATCACGGTATACGTGTGGTTTTCCACTGGATATTAGCAGGAAATAAATTGGGATAAGCTGGCCTCACAAGGCATCCGAATCTGTCTCGGGCCAGGCAGGGCCACAGTGGGCAGGGAGGAGAGGGGGGTGCTAATGACTAATTCATGGCACGTGAAGTCTCAACTCGTCCGTGGTATGGCTCAGTTTCTGCAATGTAAAAACAACCTGGCACCTCCCAAGCACCAGGTTGTCTCGACACGGCACCGTTGCGTTGCGCTTTCAGATGCGCTTCTGCGGCCGTCTGGAACGCTCTTCCTTCCAGCATTAGGAAGTCACTGGAGCTATGCACTTTTAAATCATCATCTAGATTGACAAACTCACTTCTTTAGAACCGCTTTTTGTCTGTTGTCCTTCCATCCCGCACCTCCGATGAGCACGGTTGGCTATGTACGGTGCGAAAGAAGTTCAACGTACATACATAGCGGTTCGGACGTGCCAGAAAACAACAGGTAAAAAGCTCTCCACATGGCTGCAGGTCCAATTCACCGGCGCAAACAGCCCCACAGGGATTTGGCTATTGCACCAGCACTTGTCGGGCACGCACTCAAAACGATGACAATCACGGCTACAGTTACCTCCTGTCGTTTGGGGGGGGTTCGGTGAGGGTGTGGTTCAGTGCGCAAACATCGCTCGCGGGCAAAAAAAAAGATAGGAGCGAGTCTGGTGATGGTGGATTGGCGGTACTAAAACTGCATGGGAGAGCCGTGTATTGCGGTAAACGAGAGCACCGTGACAGCAAACCGTGGGAACGCGGTGCACAACGCGGTTACCGCCGTGTATAAATGGGGCGCGAGCGCGCGCGGTATATTATTGCGACGCGTTGTGCTTTTTCGGGGGCGTGGCAAAAATCCATCATTAGCGCCCGCCGGGTCTCTGCTCCGTGCCTTCACCGGACCCCGCACTGACCAGCGTGGGCGGAGTGCTGTCAGACGACTCCCCCCCCCCCCCCCAGACACAACCCACCACGGCAGAGCGGCGACCGCCCCGATCGCAGCGGCCGCTGGACCAAACGTCACCGCGCGAGCGCGTCGCTCCTTCGCGGCCGCGCGGGTCACGAGCGCGCGACCACCAGCACGGTGTGCTGCCCCCCGCTGGAGGCGGCCAGCACCCGCACCCCCTCCAGCTGCTTCCCCTCCATGCGCTCGGGGCTCCAGGCATCCTCGTCGTCGGCGCGGCCCAGCTGGTGGTTCGTGCCCATCCCCCACGCGTACACGGAACCTGCAGAGGGGCGCAACCCAAAAGGGATGTTCGAGCGAGGCGCCGTTTACACCAAGGCAGACTGTTGGGGAAAGTGCTATTTAACGAGCAGCACCTATGAAGGCCGGCAGGGCACACGAGGGGGTGGATGGCCAGCACCACGCCCGGCCGCCTTTGTCTCCCCCAGTAGCGACGTTTACACACCGCACCAGGTACTTATTTGAGGCTGAGTTGACCTAGGGGAGGCCCAAGACCGGTTCAGATAATTGCTATTACTGGTGTTGGCCGTGAGCAGGAATCGAACTCGGGCCACCAGGTTCGTAGTGCAGCGCGCTCACCACTACACTACCGCTCCCCACATTACAGACACACACACGTGCGCCACCGTCCTGCCCTGGCAGTGCAAGGGGCAGTGACGCGGCGGGCGGTAGCAGGTATTTCCGCTTTTGTTGCCAAGATTCACGGTTCGACACCTGCGGCCCGCCCTGTCTACAACTCCGGGTGTGTAAACCGTACAACAGTACGCTCACCGTCTGCTTCACAGTCGACGTTAAAAATTAGTTGGCCTTGAATGGGCAGCCACCATTCCAAAAAAGTTGAGTACCACTGGAAAAAATTAAACCCACTCAACTAGGACGTGGCTACAATTCCACAGCCAATCGTCGACTAGACGACAACCGTGAATAAAATGCAACATTCGGACCGAATCAACGCTGCGTAAGACCAGTCCAGAGAAGCCACCTCAGCCAAACGCTGCACTGCTAGCTACCAGCACGATCACACGAGTAGGAGACACGAGGAGGGAACAGGAGGCAAAATGCACGAGGAGGGAACACACGAGGGGGCGACCGCAGGAGGGAACATGCATGAGGGAACACGAGGGGCAACATACGAGGGGGGAACACGCATGAGGGAACATGTGGGGGGACACACACACGCGAGGGACCACAGGAGCGAACACGCATGAGGAGCGAACAGGAGGGCAACGCTCACCGTCCTTGGTGACGGCGTAGCTAACGCTAGCGCCGCACGTCACGGAGAGCGCGGGGCCAAGCCCCGGCACGAGCACCGGCTCCATGGTCTCCGCCGCGCCCTTCCCGAGGCCCAAGCGGCCGTAGTCGGCTCGGCCCAGGCTGTAGACGCGGCCTACGGTGGGAGGGGAAAACACACGGGCCGAGAACCGGTCACGGGACAGTGGGAAAACGTATTTAATAGAGGCATATTCTTAGGTTTTTTCCGGTAAAGTAACGTAGGTAAAAAATTAAAATGAATAAAAGTAAAATAAAAATAAAATAAAAATCACGACGTTTCGGAGGCAACACAAGCTTCCGTCTTCAGGTGGAACCGTCACAGCACGCTTGCTGTATCAAGTAAGAGAAATTCAAGAAAAAAAGGTGCCACCTGAAGACGGAGTCTTGTGTTGCCTCTGAAACGTCGTGATTTTTATTTTATTTTTATTAATTTTATTTTTTTACCTACGTGACTTTACCGAAAAAACCTAAGAATATGAATCCTTGCAGTCACGAAAGCTTCAAATCTAGAATTAATAGAGGCAGTCGGTCATAGTTCCTTATGGGGGTCCTAAAGGTCTCTCTGCGAGTGCATACATCACCACGGTTGTTTTATTGATATAGCCTCCACATGCTGCCACATCTCAATACGTAGAGGGGAGAAAAGGCCTTGAGCTTCGACTAGAATAGGGGCAATGTGAGTTCCAGACTAAGATGTTGAACTTCGTTCGCACCATACGTAGCAAACCGTACGAATCGGAGGTGCAGATCGTGCCAATCGGAGGGCAGAATCAGAAAATGAGCAATGTCCCACTGACAGAATGGTGAGTGGCGGCCTCAACAGAAGCCCTCGGGTTCCTGCAGGGGAGAGTGCACGGAGGGAGTAGAGCGAGCGGAGACGGGAGGGGGGAGGTAGCGGTGAGAGGCCATGGAGAGGATCAGGCGCCAGGCAGTCCCAGTCCAGTACCGTATTGTAGAGCCGCTACCGTGGCTAGCCGCAGTAGCGGCTGCACAGTACTGCCCAGGGTTGCATCTTCCACAATTGCCTTGTTTGAACATTTCTGGTGATTTCAGTGGGTTTTATATTTACCTTTTATATCGCCTTCATAGCAAACACATACATAGTATGTTATATCGTGTAAACCTCAATAGATATACGATTACAAGTTGTAAATAGATTAAATTTCCTCATTGTGAAAATGGGATTTTATTCGGAAAAATGCAACTTCGTAGCGGTGGCAGATCATAGGAAGAGGGTTAGAGTCAAAGATATAATGGATGGGAAAAAGAAATGAGAAACGGAAGAGGAAAAGAGAAATAATGGGAAACACGATGGAAACGATGGAAAAGGAGCAGAGAAACTGGAGCAAAGGGTCAGAGAGAGATGAGGATCGGGAGAACGAGGCTACACAAAGGGCCTCGACACCGCTGCACGGAGCGGCAGCGGCGTCCGTTTCCACAGTGGGCGGCGAGGAGAGGGGAGGGGGTTCGGAGTGGGGGCGGCCACACGGCAGTCACGTGACATTTACGGGAGGCGCGAGCCAATTCAGAGAGATGAAGCAGAGCCCCTCTTAACGACCACCCCTGTTAACGACTAATCGCTTAACGGGCCTCCGTAGAGCCCAATGTGTAGTGTATAGTGTAGTGTATAGTAGTGTACAGTATTGTAGTGTATAGTGTAGTGTATAGTGCAGTGATTAGTGTAGTGTATAGTGTAGTGTATAGTGCAGTGTACAATAGTGTAGTTTATAGTCGTGTAGAGTAGTGTATAATAGTGTAGTGTATAGTGTAGTGTATGGTAGTGGAGAGTAGAACCCCTCTTAACGACTACCCCTGTTAACAACCAATCGCTTAACGACGGGCATCCATAGAGCCCAATGTGTTCACTTACCGACCATTCCCCTGTTAACGACAGGCTGTTGTAGGTACAGTAAATAATGAATGCATTAATTAACCACGTTTCTTTTAATATTGTGTTTATCACGTTGATGGAATCTTCATGTATTAATATCCATTGTTTAAATATTATAAAGTACGTTTTTTGGATGAAAAAGGGTACCTTTCGATGCAGCCGGAACTAATTGAGCCCTTTAACGTGTATTGCCTAGACTTACTTAATGACCAAATCACTTATCGACCAGTCTCAAGGAACCAATTACCGTCGTTAAGAGGGGTTCTACTGCATAGACGGACAGACCGGGGGGGGGGGGGGGGCACCCCGCCCGCATGAACAGTCGCGGTGGTGTTTTAAGGACCCGCGGCCAGCACCTTCCGAGTCGAGGCAGAGCGAGTGATGTTGTCCTCCAGCAAAGTGGCTCCATTTGTTGGTGGAGTTTTTGAACGCGGCGAGCAGCTTCGGCACAAAGAGGCACTTGGTGCTGAGGGTTCCTGCAGAGGGGGGGGGCAAACGCATGCACTGTTGGTTACTTTGCGAGACGCGACGCAGCGCTCCGTTAGTTGGGCAGAGCGGCGATTAAACGGATAGTGCGGTGTGAGAAGGGGATCAAATCTGCACACACTATTAATTAATATTACAGCATCCCCTCCCCCAGAGATGGCGATTAAGGATGTGACCTACACAGCACGGGCGCCTTAACAAAATGGCGAAAACGTGACATATCATGCGCATGCCTGTCAACCCCTTATCAGTGCCCTACCTTATTACAGACCAATTCAGACCTTTTTGGTCACCACGTGCCCAAATAAATCTCAACTTTTATCCTACAAAGTCCCATCGCAAGGGGGAAACACACAAATAGACAAAACAAGTATTTCCCGTATTGCAACGGCTGTACGCCGTACGGACCTGAAAACTGAATCTCCCTGTACAAGAATATTGGCAAACCGTATGCGTTGACAGATACGCGTACGAAATAAAGCTAATGACAACCATATCGGCAGCTTGGCTAAATATCACCGCGCTTTATGTCAGAAAAATGTTATTTCCTGACAAAATATTTGTGAATGACAAATCTCAAATAATAAACAGCTCCATTATCAAAAACTAATTATCCTGGAGAAATCCGATGAGCTATGAAGCTCTTTTGTTCACAACTGTCCAGCAGGGGGGCGAGTCATTAAGTGTTGGCAAACTGCTCGTCTACATAGATGGTATCACGGAGAACGTGTGAGCTGCCTAGATGTGTGCGAGTGTTGTTCCCCGTTAGGATTTTAATCAACTACAGGCGTCCCTCGCATCACGTGCGACATGCATTCCTGGAAAACAGCGCTCAAGTTGAATCACGCTGGATGATGCCTATGTTCCCACAGGCATTCATGTTATAAGGGGGAGTGCGTTACCAAAGCAAATTAAGTATCCTTACATTACTTTAACCCCGAAATTACAAAATGCATATGAATTAATACTTAATAATATTATGAACATTCCAAAAATTACTTCACAAGGAGTTGAATAACAAATAATAATAAAGAAGATAACAAATATTTATACGTACTAAGATTACGTCATAATTAGTAACTTCAGGATCTTCCTGAATGCCTCCGTGAGCTGCTGGGCACTGCTTTGACGAGGCGGTGACGCCATCAGAAATACTTTTTGTTACTTTTTATTTTCATAATTGAAATTAATATTTAATTTAGAAAAATCTGAACGTAATTATTTTTTTTCCTGAGCGCGTAACTGTGAAGCGCACGGCGTAAGTGTGAAGTATGTCCCTAAAAGATAAATCGCGGAACTGGGAATTCACGCTATGGGGAGGGGCACATTACGTGAGGGACGCCTGCACTCTGGAATCTTCGTACATGGAATTGTCCAAACATCCCAACACAGGACCCTCCTAAATTAAGAGTCTTCAGTGAGGCACTGAATAAATACATTTACAACAGATGTTAACGTGCGCACGACAGCAAGGACGTGCGGCGCTTTGTCAATGCTCTGCTGGATAAAGGCCTGCACTTCACTATGCTGGTCACTGCAGGCTGGTGAAGGGGCTGACAGGATTGAGGTTCAATGCCCTGTAGCAATCCACGTCTTCTGGTTCTTGATGCGGTGCATGAACCATGACGCCACTGCTCTACCCGCAGTGCAATATGCAATCAATAAATGTGTCACAGCGGCTCCAGTAGAAGCAGCTGGGTTCCGTAGAACTATCATCAATCTGCTGCATTAGTCATTCATTTGGGAGTTAAAATTGAAGTGCACTCGTGCTTTGGGTTGCCCAGTGCGTGCTTTGGGTCACACACGAGTGAATTTACACCCAGAGCCAGAGGCACAGTATGGTTGTGGCATGGGCCCTGGTAAAACGAATGCAATGGGCCCCCCACCCCGCGTCTGATTTCAACCCCTCTTCGTAGCCCTGCGCTCGAGCCTTCTGGCCCCATAGGCGCCAGTGCAATTGTACCGCCTGCACACCGGACAACTACGCCACTGGCCAGAAGATGAACCACCCTGGTAACGTTTCACCGGCATGGTTCACACTGCCTGCCCCCCCCCCCCCCCCCCCCCGGGTACACAGGCGGCACCCCTCCCTCCTCCTCCTCCTCCTCGCCATGGCCTCACCCAGCTGGTAGTAGTTGGAAAGGCCGAATCCGTAGACGTGGCCATCGCGCGAGACGGCGAAGGTGCAGTAGGCGCCGCAGAAAATGTCGGCAAAGTGCAGCGCGCCGGTACCCTTGGGGGCCTTGAAACGCAAGGGCTGAGGCACCAGCAGGCGCTCTGCACACGCGCACGCAAAAAGGGGGACAGGCACACGGGTGCACGTTCTGCTCAGCGCTGGTGCAGAGAGACCCCGCCGGCCAGTCAGTCCTCCCGTCAGCAGACGTCGCATTGTCGAGCACTCTCCTGACGGTGATGTGCGTCAAAAAGTCCGAGGAGAGCTATCTGTCTCAAAAGCCACGAAAGCCAGTCGCCCCGCTGCAGAATCGTCTTCAGTCTGTCGGCTATAGATTACATCATCGCAGGCCAGTCGAGAACTGAGACAATTAGACTGGCTTCAAGTCGAATAAATGTCTATAAACTGTAATCGACGAGAGTACGAGTGGTTTTGCTTCATCTGTCCAGCCCTACCCACGATTAGCCCGGGTATAATCAAGAGCTGACTGTGCGTTCATTATGATTTTCTGCGTAGTGCCCAGATGACCTGGCTAAGGTCACCAACGCGTCAAAAACAAGGCCGGCTGCTCAGTAGAGAGGGAGAAACAGCACACATGGGAGAGAGGAAAAACCGTTGAGAGTTGACCGCCAACGGAGATTCTAAAATTCGAGACGCCGCGCTCATCACGCTTACCGAGGCCCTTTCTGCCGCCACGGCACGAGAAGCATTCCGGGACCCTCCCCAGCTGTCCCTGCTCCCCACAGCCCAGCGTGTAGAGGTCTCCGGACTGCGACAGCAGCACCAGGTGATCGTTACCTGGGCAGAGACGGGGGTGGGGGGGGCAGCGTTGGGGCCACACGGCGCGTGTCAGGGCCTCACGTCGACGATAACGCAGCGGAAGTGTTTATGGAGAGGCATATATCCCCCGCGGGTTGACGCCAAGGACGCGTTCCCGAAAACTAAAATGTGCATCCATGAAGCCATCTAGATATACAAACATAGACATGACTTCAACCGAGATGATGGATTCAAATTTAGCAATTAGTGGAATGGTGTAATTAAACAAGTTAAATTTTAGCTGCCGTGCAGTTTACTGCTAGACAGCTATTTTACATTTAATTTTATAAACATATCCATACTCCCAGTCTGTTACCCCACATTACCACACGTTGTTTTTTAGCCTGCACATTTCAGTTTGAACTCTATGCGTTATTAATTTACCCGGCAGCATAACAAAAGGCGGCTTATCTACTTCCACAAAAGCCTCAGTTTGAACTCCAATCGTTGCTCGGGGTACACAACGCTACCTCCCAGCCCACACCCCGCCCCCACACTCACCATGCCCCCTCCCCCCATCCCCCCCGCGACTATATAATTACTCGTCACAGCCACCTCTGAGACACACTTAAGCGGTTGTGCTTTCGCCAAGTTGTCCCCACCTGAAGAAGGACGCTCGTGTTGCGCCCGAAATGTCGTGATTTCAGTTATTTTTAATTTTTACCTACGTGACTTTACCGAAAAAAACAAAGAGTATGGATTTCCCTGCGCTGCCTCGCCTCTGCGTACTATGTTGAAACCTCATATCCTGTCTTGGTGTCATGGTTTGCACACTGGCAATGTAGAGGTCGCCGGTTCGATCTCCAGGCACAGCAGTGGATACAATCCGAGCAAGTTTCCCAAATCTCCCTCCCAGCCACTGTCCACCTACGGCAGAGTTCGGTAACCTGCAGCTCAGCAGCAGCATGCGGCTCTTTGAGGACTGCAGTGTGGCTCTCGAAAGTCGAACAAAAATGGCTCTTCTTGTCATTTTGGTTGCCGACCCCTGAACGTGGGAGTCCAGTTCACCGTGGGCAAGGATCAGCAACCTGCGGCTCCGAAGAAGCACACAGCTCTCTCCTAGGACTCTTTCGTGACGATATTTATTGAGGACCGTCTCGTATTCACAGTCTCATATTCACCGTCTCGTATTCACATGCAGTGGCAGCCTTTAAAATATTGGGGGGTTTTTTTTTAACCAAATTTCTTCTTGTTTTGATTGCCGACCCCTGACCTAGGAGAATTAATGAGTTCACCGCCGTAAGTCAATCGGCAGGTCGCGTGCGGTAAACTGCACTCCCATCTCTTCAAGACGTCTGTCGAGCGTGGTAAGATTCGACCAAATGCCCACTCGATGGGGCTCCCTCGAGCTTCCTCTAGCAGAGGCCCTTCTGTCAGCAGTTGCCCAGCAGTGGCCTGAGCGGGGCTGCATCTTTACCTGTTACCACAAACTTTGCCCAGCAAGGAGTGACCTTTGAGATGGGGGTGGAAAGTCTCTTACCGGACGCCACCTTCACGATGGTCGTCTCCAGGGGCAGGAGGGCCGGCAGAGGACACTTCTCCATGGGTTTCAAGAGACCAATCACACCGTTGTTGTCCTGCAAAGCAAGGGCACACGTCCGAAAATTACAGGCAACTCTCGATTCTCCGCAGGTGGATTATCCGAGTAGTGGACAAAAAAAATAAAATCTTTCACATGCACGCCGGTTCACGAGTTGCTCCTCACTCACCGAGGGTCGGCGACCCGGTGCCCACGTGACCGCAAACGCCTCGGCAAGTAAACGGATTACTTTAAAAAGCAATAAAATCAGACTACGCATTCTACATCATTACCCTTATTCTAAAGCCCAATTTGCATATTTTGAATTATCTCTGATGTTTTTGTTTCATCCAGGATACACCTTATCCCCCCCCCACCGTGACCCAAGATAATTGACAGTTGCGAGTTATAGAAAAAATTCTGTGAAGTCCATGGTGACCTGCCTAAGATGATGATCTCATTTTCATCTCAGGGTCCCATAAAAGCAAGGCTGGCTGCACCAGATGATTAATTAACATTGCCCCGCAGCACTGGGCAAGGCCTGCTTGTGTGTGTGTGGGCTATGGGAGCGCCATACCCTCACTGCGCGGTGGCTGTGTGCGTGCTAGTGATGTATGAGCAACGAGATTGTGCATGTCTGATGGATAAGCATTGTGTGTGCCGTGGATGAGTGTTGTACGTGTGTATGTGTGTGCGTGGTTGCTGAGTGTCATACACGTGGTAGATTGTTGTGTGTATGTACGTGTGTGTATATGTGTGTATGTGGATGGATAAGTGCCGTGTGTTTGAGTGACAAGTGTTTGAGTGATGTGTTGAATGTGTGTGATTGATGATTGTCTTATGTGTGGTGGATGAGTGCCATACGTGCGGTAGATCATTGCCGTACGTGTGTACGGCAGATGATTTTGTATGTGTGCGTGTGGTAGACGACTGTCGTACGTGCGCACGCGTGGGTGCGAGATTGCTGGTTTAGCGGCGTACCCGGAAGGTGCCCCACACGTAGACGCTGCCGCTGTGCGTGAGCGCGGCCGTGTGGCTGTCGCCGGCCGACACCTGCACGACGCGGTCGGCGAGCTGCACGACGCCGGCCACCGCCTCGTCCTCCTCCTCGGCCGTGACGCGGCCCAGGGCCCCCTCGTCGTTGCAGCCAAACGTGAGCACCTGGCGGAGGGAGAGAGAGAACGGCGCCCGCCACCACCCCATCCATCATCATCATCATCCGCGGGAAAACCCCTCGTGACCGCGGGCCTTTCGATCCGTTGTCTCGCAGCGGACAAGAGGAGCTGCCTGCAAGCGAGGGTGAATTCATGTCTGTGGTGGTCTTTCCTAAAAGCTCCTCCGAATTCCATTTCACAATCCACCGCTCAGCCACCACCGGTACACAAGCACACCAAGGGACTGTTAGCGTACGTACGTTGAACGTCTTTCGCACTGTATGTAGTGGTCAACCGCGCCAAACGGGAGGTTGACTAAATTCACAAAGGGTTGCCGGGCACAACCAACGATGAACATCATTGGGGCACCAGTCTGGCCGTCGTCAACACAGAACAAGCCCCGGATGGGTGGGGGTGGGTGTGCTATAACTCGCAGATGCGACATCGCCACCGGCGCTACACGAGGGACTGCGGGATGAGGTCAATGGGACCGCCCTCCCACGCGGGTGACTGGCCGGCAGAGTTGCAGTGGAAAGACAAAAATTTGGTTAAAGAAAAATAACGACAGCTGATCGGGGCTTTTTGGAAGGCGACTCTCTCTACTCGTGTGTTTGTTCAATAAATACCAAAAAGCACAAACATACTTTTTTGGTATTTATCAGCTAAACGCTCAGGCAATCAGAATCTTTATTCATCCTGGAGGAATCCGATGAGCTATGAAGCTCGTTTTCACAGATGTCCAGGAGTGCAGTCAACTCTGAATTATCCTGGGTTATGGGTGGGGGAGGAGTGGTCCAATAAAACATAAACAATGATCATTAAAAGAAAATGCAAATCACATATGTATTGTCTAACCATGTAGAATTCATCTTCCACTTTATTTTTCTCAACAAAATCGGTTTGCTTGCCGACATGAGTTAGAATTGCCGTGAACGAAAAGTTAATATTTTAAATCTCACAGCCAGGTAAACTCTTGCAACAACACCACGGGGTCATTAAAATTACGGGAGTAACACCACACGAAGACAGGTCCCCTTGTGCATGGGGTAGCGAGGGAGAACACGGGGCAGGAACCCGTGGCAAGTCGAAACCATGCAAAACTGAAACCTGTAGTAAGCTGGAATTTGTCGAAAGCCAGAACCGATGGCAGGCCAGAATTTATTCCAAGCCAGAATTTATTTCAAGCCGGAACCCATGGCGTGCTGGAGCTTGTTGCTCGCCGGAACGTGTGGCTAGCCGGAACCCGTGGGCTAGCCGGAACACGGAAGGCAGGGCTGTGTTGTGGAGGCGTGCGTCCGCGCGGTGCACTCACCTGCCCGCTCACGGTGAGCACCACCGTGTGCATGCCGCCGGCCTCCGCTTGCACCGCCTTCTCGGAGAGCGGCACGAGCGCTGGCCGCTTGCGCTCCGTGACGGCCGAGCCCAGGCCCAGCTGCCCCACGTCTCCCTCGCCCAGCGCCAGTACCTCCCCGGGGCTGTGCGCGTGCGACGGGTGCGACACTGACGATCCACAAGCGTGCGCACACATATACACAAACACACACACATACAAACAAACATGCACAAAGATCAAGGCAGGCACGACACACGAGTGGGTGGGTGGCCACCATCACGCCCAGCCGCGTTTGTCTCCCGAGTGAAAACGTTTTTACACATCGCACGAGGTACTCAATTGAGGCCGAGTGGACTTAGGGGAAGCCTTGCTTCGTCAGAAGCTTCACGATTACAATGTGCAGACAATTCCTTGTTGCATATTCCTTGGTGTGGCAGGAAACCTGTGTGCACACAGCGAGCGCACAGGTAGAGTTTGGAGTTGTAGCACGTGTAAATGCCACCGCAGCTCAAGGACGCTCCACAGAAACATTGTGCACATGTATTTTAAATAGAGAGAGGCAGTCGGTCATAGGCAGAGGAAATGAGGAAGCTCTTGAGCCCGGACTTGAGTAAGGCGGGGAGTCGACTGCAGATTGCTGGTGGAAGGGAATTCTATATTGTGGGGGGGCAGCAGAGGAGATTGAGCGACATTCCCTAGTGTATGTTGCCTGGAGGTTTGGGGGCTTCACACAAGGCTTCCCGTAGAAACCTACTGCCATTGATTACATTTTCCACAAGGCACGGCTCGGCTTTCTCTATTAATGTGGCGGCATATATTAATAGCAGTAGGTCTCGTGGCTCGGGTCTACAGAGACAAAGATAAACAACAAACGCGGCCCACACACACTAGCAGTACACCTACCAGGGATTTAAGTATTTTCCCCAGGGGAGACAATAAAATTGCACGCGCGTTTCAGGTCACCGTCGCCCCGCCACAATTAGGTGGAAGGTCGACGCTTCACGAGAAGCCTGTGCTCATTGCGCACGCGCTTCGTTCAGCTCGCGGAAAGAGGGGTGGTGTTGTGTTTTAGCAACCGAGGACACAGCTTATTTACGCGTCCGTCCCATACCGTAGCTAGGTTAAGACATCCATTAATATAGCTCAGGCGGTGAGCTGGCCACAGGTTTAAAGCATCTGACGAATGCCTGCATGACCACCGATGGAACATTGTCGACATTCAGCGGCGCCCACCCTGCCCAGGCAACCTGACCGAGCGACGCTGCTCAAATAAACACTCACGTGAAATAAGGTTGTTAATTGATTGTTTTAGGTAGTTTTTTTACTGGATCCATTTCTGGATGCAATTATCGATTTTAATAATCAAGGAATTAAATCCAGCTAAATTTTTGCAATAATTGAACAGACTTGCAGGCACGGACGTTCAAACTGCACTGTGTTCCAACGTGTTTGGTCACGTGACAAATCATTTCATACAATGTATACCACATTCGCCAGATTGTAAGACCATTTTTCTTCAATATTGTAAAGCAAAGGTTGATATTGCGTCTCCCTTATAGTCCGATGTAGCCTGAAATCTGGTGCCCGTACATGGAAGTTACAACTGCGCTCAGCGTCCGACCAACTTACCACTCACGTCTATGTCACCGCCAACAACACCACAGTCTGTGTACCACGCTGTACACACGTCATATGGTCTCAACGCCACTCAAGCCTAAACGCCGCTCAGTCCGCAGAACGGATTTTAGGAAGTGACTGGAGAGGAAAGATTCTACCAGTACTGTACACAAATCTCTTATGCAATTTGTTTTACTTTTCCATGTGAAGACACACAATGGGAGTTCTGCCAATATATTTGAATCTGGCTTGGGGCCGAGCAGGGCCAGGTGTGGGTGTAATGTCGCATTCATTGTGGGCGACGGCAGTCGGCACACTGAGGGCAAAGCATTGCCACGTCGTCTTATGCGCGTTCCCGCTCGTTCACTGTACTCGATATCAACGGCACGGCTTGGGTTTTGCAGTGGAAAAACAACCCGGCCCTTCCCGATCCGCGCCGGGGCACGGCTCAGGTGAACAGTGGAAAATAGGAATTAAAGAGTCTCCAACAAGAAGGCTGTTACCAGGTGGGTGCGTGGGTTTCTCTCACCTTTTATCTTCTTGGCATCCGTGTGCCCAACCGAGTTCTCATTTTTGGGCAACTCCCTTTTGAGGGACGGACGTCCCCGCTTGCCAGGCATGCTGGCCGTGCCGCTTCCAACGCTAGCCTGTGGACGTGATGGAGATTGGCCTCACTCACACAGCTGCTGCCATCATCCGGTGTATTGTGTCTCCAGCTCTCGCTCGTGTCCGAACACCGCGTAACGCGTGGCACGAAGAAGGCCGTGTTAGAAGTTATCACAGCAACACCGTAGAGGAACACGCAACAGCCAAAATTGGTACTAAAATTACACGGTAGATTGTTTAAGCATGCGTACATGTACAGCCCTTTTGTCACTCCACTGCTGAATGAGGGCCTCCCTATGCTGAGTGCAGGATGTGGATCTTATTTTGCCATACTGGTCAGTGCGGATTGCAAACCGGGAGCATAGACAAGAAAACAGGTGGAGAGAGCAATTGATTTTGCTACAGTCCTCTGCTGCCCACCCACATAGTCCTGCAGCCGATGAAAGGAACAACTTTGTTCACGTGGTGACCCCATTCGAGCACTATCCATGGTCACATCTCCCAGAATGCTCCTGATCTCGTCAGAACCCAGAAGCTAACAACTGAAAGGAAACACTATTTAATTAACAGAGCTATTTTCAGGATGGTCCTGCCAGGTTTTTGCAGTCGGGGTCAATGTTCCGATTTGTAATATTACAAATTGAGTCATTTGCAGATCGTTTTTCAGCATTGGGATGTTTGGCGAAGCCCAGTTTGCAGTGCATGTATAAAGGGCGTCCAATAATGAATACACAGGGGGGTTCCCGATATACGTCGCCACGACGTACGTTGTTTCCTGCTCACGCCGCAAAATTTTTGAGGAACGCAACGTAAAATGTCCCAACGCATACGCCGTTAAGTCGTTTTCAACTCGGTTCAGCTTAATATAGAAAACGTACAACTCGTATTTTGCGCGTAGGCATTGTTTACGTTCTTACGGTCCCTATCCCCTTCCACCCCATTTTCATTACTTTTTTATAGGGGAAAAGTCCCCGTTATACATCGTTTCGTTATAAGTAGCAACTCTCCGTTCCCTAACCCCGATGTATATCCTTGCCTGGTATGCATGGCCCGGTCGCTTCTGAAAAATAAGTTAATGGCTCAGTGGGCCTTCTCTAGTAAAATTTAATATAGTTTTATTTATATATATTTTTCAAACAATTCGTTTACCTTGCCTATAATTCTCCTATTGTGTTTTTGTATTGCTTGTTGTTGCATTTGCTGTCCAACACACTGTTGTGCTGTACTAGTAATGAATTGGCACGTTGTTTAGACAAACCTTACTAATTGGCTGTGTCGGGTGGTGGCGGGTTTTACGACACAATTAGATTTAACCCCGAAAAACTATGGATATTGGTCGCGAAAGCCTACGTATTAAACTGCCTTTTTTCAACGGTTTTATTTAACTCGACTCCTGTTTGTCGTGGTCAAATCTTGTATTCAAAATTTCGTCCACTCCCCGTTGTCCAATCAATTCCACATTTTGCACACGTACTCAGATCCGGTGACAATGCATGCCTGTAGCAAAATCGGCATCAATTAATTCGCTACTTTAAAACAATTAACATTTTGTAAGGACGCCTTATTATTGATATATATTTGTGTAGGTAAAAAACGCCTCGGTCCCCAAACTCTCGAATCGCCTGCTCCGTGTGAACGAGGTACGGAAGTCATCAATTAAGTCCAGTATGCGTTGGTGTGGGAGCAGGCACCGCATCATTGACGTACTTCTCGACCGTGAGTTAAACGAAGTTGTTAATACAACTGTTGGTTTTAAAAAACTTTTTTTAAGGAGTTTATTAGCCTTGTGTTGATATTTTCGCAATATAAATAACATTACAAGCTGAACATTTATTCGATTGAGTAATCATGGAAATAATGGAGATGTCACACTCACTGGAGACTGTTTCCAGGAGGAATTGTACGCTCCCTGTTAATTCTACGTTCCTTTGCCAGGGCCCAGTCTCCCCAAGTCGGAAACAACAACCTCCCCCATAAAGTTAAGACAGGTGCGCCGGAACTCTCCTAGCAAAACACCTCTTTGGTGGGCAGCCACGAGTTTAACATACGAACCCAGTTATGTATTGTCCCTGCAAGGAGCCCTCAAAGTGAGCAATGGAGGTGACCGAACATGCTGGGAGATATAAATGCTCTGCTGCTTTGGTAGAAAATATTCTCCTCCAGTACAGGACTTGATTGGTGTGGCTACGGTGTGAGCGGTTGATATTTAAACATAGTTTGTTGACCTTATAATGTGGCCGGGGGCCGAATTTAATGAATTTCCGTCCTGCCGGGCCAGTCCATAGGGTTCTCAAAACGGTGTTAGGCGATTTAGCGAGCGCACGGCCATGCGTTGCATGATTTTAGACATTTTCCATCTCATTCCCGTCAAACTCACGAATGAAATTTCTTCAGTGATGATGTTATCGGTGGAGGTGCCTTGGCAACTTACGGCAAAGCGATGCGAATGGAATGGCCTTGAGCAGCAGCAACAGCTGGCGAGGCACCACGTGGCGGTATCACAAAGAGCGCCCTTGTTGAGTTTGCCCCGTGCTGTTAGACGCGTGCATCGCTGGCCGTGAGCAACAAACCAAAACTATACTATCTTGATTTGAAGCTTTCGTGACTGCGAAAATCCACTCTTTGGTTCTTTCGGTAAAGCCACGTAGGTATAAAACAATAAATCACGACGTTTCGATTGCAACACAAGCAATCATCATCAGGTGAAAAAAAACAGCAAGAAAAAAGGGGTTTTTTTCACTTCAACAAAAACAACTTTTTTCTTGCTGTGGTTTTCCCACCTGATGATGATTGCTTGTGTTGCAATCGCAACGTCGTGATTTATTTTATACATCCGTGACTTTACCGAAAGAACCAAAGATTATCAAACCTATACAACTAAACTATTTATTTTATTTTACAAGGTAAGGCTTACGGAGCTACATAGAGTTTTTTTCCCCACACGCGACCTGCCCATAAATGATAGCCCAAAGAAGTGGCTTATCACGTGCAAAGTTGTAGCAGCTAAATACTCCACACCCATGCCTCTAAATGTGCAGGGGGGAGAACCCGGTGGGACCTGAGAGAAATCCACGCGACCACGGGGAGAGAGAGAGACACGCAAACTCCAAATACACCGCAAGGCGCCAGGGTCGGGCTTGAAGCCCACGAGGTTCTTCATACCAGGCGAGGTAGTTCACATCTCGTCACCACGCACTGCTGTTGTACTACACTGCAGCCCCACAACCGTTTGCTCTAGAAGAGAGGTTTCGCCTGCCTCGCTCATCATCATCAGCCATGATCAATCCACTGCTAGATGACGGCATCCCCCCCCCCCCCAAGCCGTCACAATATCTCGAGGTGCTGCGATGTTAACGATCCATACAGTTCCTGGCAAGACGAGTCGATTTGTTGTATGAAGGGGTGTGTTGCTGTACGGGAGGTGTGCGTGGTGTAGGCGTGTTGACGATAAAGGCGTGCACGTTTTGAGGCGTGTGCACCGATATCGTGTGGCAGGGGGTGAGGGTTGTGAGCGTGTAAGAGCGGTGGCGAAGTGGTTAACCAGCTCGGCGATCCGAGTTCGATTCCCGCTCACGACCCAACGCCACCGACGATTATTGTAACCGGTCCCGGGCCTCTCCTCGGTCGTTTCGGCCTAAAATGAGTTGAGCACACGGGGGAAGACAAAGGCGGCCGGGCGCGTGGTGGCAGCCACCGACCCTCCGTGCTTTGCCTGACCGGCACACCGTTCGTGCTCACGGCATTTGCTCCCACAGGCTTGTTGAGGCTGACACGGGGGGGGACCTTCGTCTGTGTGTCCCGTGTGGGTCCGGCTCCACGTGGAGCCTGCGACAAGGCCGCGCGCCTCTCCCGCCAAAGGAGGCAGCAGCCCTCGCCTCGCCCAGCGGCGGCGGCGGCTCTCATCCCTCGCCTACTCGCAGCCCTCTCACCTGAGAGGCGGGTGGAGAAGGAGACAGGAGGAGGGACGCGGGATCTGCTGCTGCTGTAGTTGTTGTTGCTGCTGCTGTAGTTGTTGTTGCTGCTGTTACCGCCGCCGCTGCCGCTTCTCCCGCTCATTCATTGCGCGCCGCGACCTCTGAACCCTCAACCCGGACGCGAATCTCGACACGTGACGCACACCACGTGGGGGCGGGGGGGGGGCAGAGGGGGTGAAGGGGGTGGGGGGGAGTGCGAGAGGGAGAAGGGGCACAGGGATGGGAGGGATAGCACGGAAGGTGTGGAGGAGGGGGGGGGGCTTGTGGGGGGGGGGGGGCTTGTGGGTGGGGGGCACGGGGAGCATGGTAGATGGAGGAAGGTGTGTAGGAGGGAGGGGGAGGGGCTCGTGGCTGGGTGGGGCCGGCAGGGGGCGCTGTGCTGCCACTCGCGTGCCATCACCGGGGGAGGGGGGGTGCTACGGCGAGCGGTCTCGGGGAGTGGCGCGGTGGCGCCGCTACCCCAGGGGGCGAGGGCCCAGTGGGGGTTGTCTGCGGTCATGAGCCCTGGGGGGGGGGGGGGGGGGGTGAAGCCAGTAGGGTCACAATTCTGGGCCGAAGATGTTGTAGGCCCCTGGGCTACAAGGTACTGTGTGAGCCCCCCAGTAATATTTTCAAAAGGAGAAAAAAAATGTATTTTTTACAATTTTACAATACTCTTTGTTTTTTTTCGGTAAAGTCACGTGGGTAAAAAATACATTAAAATGACAAATAAATAAAATCACGACGTTTCGGAGGCAACATAAGCTTCCGTCTTCAGGTGGAACCGTCACAGCAAAATTACTGTATCAGTATTTATTTGTTTTAATTTGTATTTATTTTTTACCTACGTGACTTTACCGAAAAAACAAAGACTACTGAACCTGGTTCGAAACGTCGTGATATATTATTTTTTATCTTATTTTTCTACCGACATGACTTTACCGAAAGAACCAAAGAGTATTTTACAAGGCTAACAACAAATAAAATTCAGCATTCACAAATTAAATCACTTTTCACTTCATCTCTGGAGGCCCCTGGGCTTGCAGCCCCTGAAGCCCCGTGCCTTGATCCGGCCCTGCTTAGGACCCGTCCTCGACACGTGCATGGACAACGCCGTGGGGTCGTAGGGGTTTGTTTGACCATATTTCACCACGCTGGTGAGTGCGGATTGGTGAAGGCGGGGGAGCATAGCAGATCGGGACAACAAAGAATCGCCGCACTGTCTGCCCATCACAGAGCACCGCAGCCGCTATGACAACCTCTGTGTGTGCATGGTGACCTCTGTGTGTGCATTGTGACCTCTGTGTGTGCATGGTGACCTCTGTGTGTGCATGGTGATCACCTTGTCCAGGCACTATCCAGGCTCAACCCTTGCCCAGCTTCAGGTGTCCAATTATTATTATTCAGGCTCAACCTTTGTCTAGCTTGAGATGCCCAGGTTACTGTTCACGCTCTACCAAGCAGAGGAAGAAATGCGTGCTATGACCGGTGAAATTATTGGCCAAACAATTGCTGTTGGCCAAACGTTACCAATGCGACTTGCAAGTTACTCAATTTGGATTCCACAAAGCAGCAATATCGCCCTCTACTGCACACACTTAGCAGAACCCTCCTGAAAAGGAGTCTTGAGACTCAGTGATACTTTCCAGGGCTACCAAGCTTCCTCGCTATTATGTTAAACATGTACATTTAATTTGTGTTTAACTTATAGTAAAACATACAACTGTGCAGGCAACATATGTCCAGCCTTTTTCTCCGTTCGTGTGGCAGATTGGCAGAGTCCATTAATCGTTCCATTTATGTAGGAAACAGCCACACCTTCCACGCGTCTTCACAGTAAAATATGACTACGGGATTACATTGCAACACTTTAATTCCATTGCAATCAACTTCATCTGGTCTGACTACGAAAGTTGCCCGCATTAGATCAGCTCCCAACAACACATTGGCATTCGTGAGTGCCATGAATTATATATTTTTTACCAGGTAAGGCCCACTGAGCTATAAAGCTCTTTTTCCGAAGCGACCTGGCCACATTTGCTAGCTCCGCGAAGTGGCTTATCATGTGCACATTTATAGCGGCCAAATACTCGAAAACGCACGATTCTAATTGTGGAGGGAAACACCGGAGGACCTGGAGAAAAATCCACGTGACGACAGAGAACACACACAAACTCCGAATACACAGCAGGCGTCTGGGTCGGGCTCGAACCCACGCGCTCCTTCCATGCCAGGGCAAGTCAGTTAACATCTCGAGTAATCGGGTAGCAAGGGGGAGGGTGGTACTGTTGGTGCTGGCCGTGGGGACACGCAGGGCTTAGGGGCCTCCGCCTGGCTGATTGAGTGGAACCCACCTCCCTCACACCCCAGCAGCTGCGAGCCATTGTCCGAAGGGGGGAAGAGACGCGTGGGAGGTGGAGAGGGGCTATGGGTGGTGGCAGGGGCGTCACGAACCTCGGTCAACTTTCACACATTTACGTCCGAGCTCTTGCCACACACATAGCAAGCCAGCGGCTCCTCTCGTTTCAGACGTGGGTAATTCCTCCCAGCCTACCGCAACGTTGCCAGTCCGTCAAGCACTGATTCAGGGCAAGCCCGACTCTGCTGATGAGAGAGACACTGAATGTCGAAACTGGTGCCCCAGAGAGTTGCTTGCGTTGAACCGGCTGCTGAGACGACGCGCTCGTCAAGAAGTCCGTGTGGATGTGTGTAGATGAAACTGCTTGTTCATCACGGGACTGCTTGTACGTTGATTTCTGCGGAGGGACAGACATGGCGAGAGAGAGAGAGGGGAGCCACGTTGTCAGTCAGCGCATTCACTTTGCCACTTACATCCCACCGCACCGACGCCAACGATTGCTGATCTCGTGCGCGTGGGACTGTTGTCGTTGTTGTTGTCGTTGTCGTTTTGTGTGGCCAGAGACGAGACGCAGCGAACGAGCGAGAGGCAGCCCTGCGATGAGGCTGCTGCTGGCCGAGCCGGAGTTCATCATCGGCGCCGTCTTCCTACCCGGCTGCCTGCTGCTGGCTCTGCTCATCTGCGTGTGCATCCTCCTCGTAGCGCACGGTACCCACAGCTCCCCACGACGACATCAGGGGCCGTTCATAAATGACGTCATGCACCTGGGGGGGGGTCAGACATTTGTGACAATGTGTGACGAGGGGGGGGGTTGAGAAATTTGACGTCTAATCAAAATGCGCAACTGTTAATAAATATAGACAACACGTTCTACTTATAATTCTTGGTTCTTTCGGTAAAGTCACAGCAAACAAAATGTATTGCTGTGGTTTTCACACCTGATGATGATTGCTTGTGTTGCAATCGAAACGTCGTGAGAATTTTATTGTTTTATTATTTCCCTTCTACATGACTTTACCGAAAGAACCAAGAATATGAATCCCTGCTGTCACGAAAGCTTTAAATCGAAACGTTCTACTTAATTAAATAGACTTTTTATTAAATGTTTTCTCCTACAACATCAGAGTGCAGCGCCACATTAAATACACACTACAATGACAATAGTTTAAAGCGATTTGAAGCGTGTTTTATTTTTTGGGTGGGGCAGAGCTTTGTGACGTCATATTTGAGGGGGGGGGGGTCTGACTTTTTGTGACGCCATGTGACGAGGGGGGGGGGGGGTCAAAAATCGTCCAAAATCGCGTGACGTCATTTATGGACGGCCCCTTACAGTTGAGGGAACTCCAGTTGAATAACTTTATCCGGACTTAAAACTACAGAATAGAACAAAGATAAGATAAAAATACACATCCAATCATTCAAATATAATATAAATGTTGCTATAGCCCTCCACTACCCTACGGAGCCAAACAAATCAAGTTGTCACGTAGGAAAATCTTCCAATTGATTTGGTTTTATCAGCAAAACTAGAGGAATGTTGAGAAGCAAGCAGAAATTTATACTTATTTATAAACTACAATCATGAAATTTGAGGGAAACTGATATCTCAATAATCATCGTATTGTGCAATGTAATAGCCTATCGTGAGAGTGATAACATGGCACCGATAGCATGGTATTGTGACAGAACCTGAACAAGCATCCGGCTGGGCTGAGTGGTGCTGCAGCAGCGCGTCAGACTGACCGTCGTGATGTGCGTTTGTGTAGCACTCGGCCCGCTGTCATTCTGGGGTTCATTGGATGAGTATCGCTTTGCGTGGGAAGTCAGTGGTTCTCCTTTTGTTTGATCATATGAATGTTTGGATCAGGTATTTTTTTAGATAAGGAGAACCTTGAATATCGCGGTGTTGCTGTGCCGGCCTTCGTAGGTAGCTTGCTAAAAGCAGTTGCCCCAACAGTTTGTTCAACCTTTTCCATTCCAAGACGCCTGCAAGTTGCAGGGTGGGTCCCGTTCACTGCTGAACCTCGCAACACGACCCCACTCTTATGATAGCTGACGCCAAACTGTGCCACACGCCCTCCCGCATGGCCTTGTGGGAGCCTTGGTATCGATAAATAAGGTTATTTTATTTCAGTCTTTCTTTCGATTCGGTTCCGATGACTTACGTGTACGTCATCGGAAGAAAAACTGATGACGTAAACGTACGTCATTGGAACGGGAAAGGGTTAATCGGCTATACGGGGTATCTTTGTCCGCGAAATGCTTGAACGGCAAAGGGTGACGTGCGACTGAATGCCACGCGCCCCTCACCTGCCCCACACCACGGTATCAGCCAACGATACAGTACTTCCGTGTACAGTATACCCGCGATCGCTAAATTTGTTTTCAAAGAGGTTTCCCGCAAGAGGTCAAACCGCGAACGTTTACCCGCGATGTCCAAGGGTCTCCCATACATACAAAAGAAAAATATCCAAAGTTATCCCATTGCCGTCATGTCATGAGATGAAGCATCCATTCTGATTTCCCGCAGAGCAGTGGGACTCTTATTCAATCGGTGGGGCCTATTCTCTGGATCAGCTCTACAGCCGGGTCCACAGCTGAGCGATCGACTTTGTAACTTCATTACAAGCGTGTTGACATCTCTGTTGCCAGTAATGAGCAGTTGCACAACCAGTTGCTCGCAGTAGAGACACACTGTCCTCATGCGATCTGCTCAGCAATTTGTGGCGACGTACTTCATCACGTGCTGCACATTTGCGATCACTTATTTGGTCGTTATAAT